GTGCGGATCCAAGGGATCAGAACAGCAGGGACCTCACCCTTGGTGCGCAAGGGGAAGACCGTGGTGTAACGCGAGTAGTCGTCGACAACCAGCAAAAAGTACCGCTCACCGCCCTGACCACGAACGCGGGCTGGGCCCCACACGTCCAGGTGGAGAGTCTGCAGAGGAGCCTCTGTCGGGGGGAACGAGGAGGAGTGAGGAGCGGCGCGCTGCCGCCCCTCGACGCAAGGAAGGCAAGGCGGCGCAGGCGAGGCAGGGAGGGGAGGGAGGGACCTGGGAAGACCAGACACAAGGTGGCGACGGTGCATGCCACGGAGGCGTGGCAAGGAGGGGTGACCCAGGCGGTGGTGCCAGAGAAGAGTCTGGTGCGACAGGGAACGACACTCACAGGCGTGGGCTACCAGACCTGACGCGGACACCTGACCGACAGCAGCGACCTGAGGAGACGCAGTGGTCAGTGTGTAGAGACTCGACCCCGGCCGACGAGTAAACGTAGCCAGGTGACGGCCGGTCCTGGAGCACGTGCAGATCGCCACACGCTGTCCTCCAGGGGTAAAGGTGTCAACCCACTGATCCTGGATGACAGCGTTGCTCACCAGGTTCGTCGAGAACGAGGGGAGGTGGAAACCCGTCAACGAGCCAGACGGAACCGCCGGACAAGGGAGCACAGTGGTGGACCGGGCAAGGACCGGGCCCCCAGAGGGGTCAGCCAAGGAGACTGGGACCGGTGCAGGAAGCGGTGTGAGCTCAGTACTGTCTCGAAAGAAGCAGCGGGAAGCACCTGAGTCAAGGGTGAAGGTGTGACAGGGCTCAGCCGGTGCAGTACCTGAGAGAGCAGTCTCTGTGGGTGCTGTACCTGAGAGAGCAGACTCGCAAGCAGCAGGGACAGTGCTGGAGGGAGCAGGTACAGGGGGCACCATACCAGAGAGAGCAGACTCACTAGTACCTAGGGCAGCGGGCCCTATACCTGGGTCAGGCGGCACACACAAGTAACAGTCTCCCTCGGCACTAACAGTCAATGCATACATGGCAGCAATAATAGCATCATAGTCAAGAGCAAAGATATCAACCCCAGCCCTCATCAGCTCAGCCCAGCGAGGGCGCTCAACATCCTCGCCCATCTCCTCACGCCAAGCGTCGTCAAGGCGGAAGAAGCAGCGGTACTGAGTGTGGAACTTTCCACACGTCTGCCCCTTGCGATCACCTGTGCGAATGACATAGGAACAGCGGCCACTGCCCCCCGACGTCCCACGCTGAGCAAGCCACTCACGAAGCTGCTGGGTTGACTGGGGACGCTGCTGCTGCTGGGAGCTCTGGCCCGAGCCTGTGCCTCCACTCCGACCTCCACCGCCGCCACTACCTCCGCTCCGACCGCCACCACCGCCACCGCCACCGCCACTACCGCCACCGCCGCCACTGCCGCCGCTGCCACCACCGCCACTGCTCCCGCCGCCGCCCCCGCCTCCGCCGCCGGCCCCACTCCCACCGGCACTCCCGCCACCGCTCCCTCCAGCACCGCCTCCCCCCCCACCTCCCCCACCCCCTCCCCCCCCAGCGCCACCCCCGCCACCCTTGCCCCCCTTGCCCTTGCCGGTGCGGCGCCTCCCACCAGGAGCAGAAGCAGCGCCAGCAGTCTCAGCACCAAGGAAGTCAACAGCAGCAGCAGTAGCATAGGAGGGAGCGAGGGGAGAGGGAGAGCATCCCTCAAAGATGGGGGTGCGAGGAGCGCCGCGAGCAGCACCTACAGCTACAATGCTCTTCTCGGCTGCTAGCAGCTTCTCCTCTAGGAGGGGGACAGTGAGCTCAGTGGGACAGCGAGCAAGGAAATAGTCGCGCACTGAGCTGAGGGTGTCAGGGAGACGGGTGACTATGAAGTGGAGTGCCCAGTACAGGGGAGGGGGGTTCTTAGCGCAGAACTCGGTGGGAAGGGCGGCACGCAGGCGAGCATCACTAGTGCGAAGGTGGGTGATAAGATCGGCGACTGTAGCAAAGGTGGACAGGTCAGGGAACAGGTAAGGCAGCATGAGACGGCTAAGCTCGGCTGTGGCAGGTGAGGAGTAGCGAGCAACGACAGCGTCGTATAGGGCTTTAGCGGTTTTGCAGTCGCCAAAGTGCTCTAGCTCAGCTAACGGCAGGTGACTGCGAATAGCCAGGCGAGCTGCAGCGTCACGAGTCTGCCACTGTGAACGTACACTAAGCTCGGCTGTGGTAGTAGGAGCAGTGGCAGCACCAGACGCGTAGTCATAGAGGGAGATGTGGTCCGTGCTATTGCTCATAAGATACAACTGCAGGTCGTCGAGCCAGGAAGTGAACTGCACGGGACGGCCCTCAGCATCGAAGGAAAGAACGCGAATAGAGGCCATAGCTCAGGCGTGAGGGCACAGCAGAGCAGCGGCAGCAGCAGAGGGGACGCGCTAGAGCGAAGCTAGCAGCCACAGCAGGAGCAAGCGGCGGTGCACAGGCAGGGAGCAGCAGGCGAGGCGGGCAGCGCTGCAGGCGGGAAGTGCGGCGGGCGGGCTGCGAAGCGGGCAGCGGGGCGGGCGGGCGACGCGGCGAGCGGGCAGCGCGGCGGGCGGCTGCGAAGCGGGCAGCGGGCGGGCGGGCGACGCTGCAAGCGGGCAGCGAGGCGGGAGGGCGACGCTGCGAGCGAGCAGCGGGCGGGCGGGCGACGCTGCGAGCGGGCAGCGAGCGAGCGGGCGACGCTGCGAAGCGGGCAGCGGGCGGGCGGGCGACGCTGCGAGCGGGCAGCAAGCGGGCGGGCGACGCTGCGAAGCAGGTAGCGGGCGGGCGGGCGGCGCTGCGAGCGGGCAGCGAAGCGGGCGGGCCGCGAAGCGGGCAGCGAGCGGGCGGGCGGGCTGCGAAGCGGGCAGCGGGGCGAGCGGGCTGCGAAGCGGGCAGCGGGGCGAGCGGGCGACGCTGCGAGCAGGCAGCGCGGCGGGCGAGGGGCGAGCGGGCAGCGTGGCGGACGGGCGACGCTGCGAGCGGGCGGCTCGGCGGGCGGGCGACGCTGCGAGGGGCGCGCGAGGGCGCTAGCGAGGGGCGCGCGAGGGCGCTAGCAAGGGGCGCGCGAGGGCGCTAACGAGGGGCGCGCGAGGGCGCTAACGAGGGTGCGCGAGGGCGCTAACGAGGGGCGCGCGAGGGCGCTAACGAGGGGCGCGCGAGGGCGCTAACGAGGGCGCACGAGGGCGCTACGAGGCTAGGGCACGGGGTAGCGTGGTAACCGCATGCGAGCGGTGGTGGGCCCTTAAAAAAAAACGGTCGGTAGGTCCTAGGGACCTCCTGCTCTGAATACCATCTCAGAATAACTAGGCAAGAATGAAGGAGCGGAGTTTCAAGGAGCGGAGGAGGAAGAGGGAGAGGGAGAGGGCGAAGCAGAGCTGGGAGGAGACGTGGTCGTTTTTACCGACGCGGAGCATCGCGCAGCGGCATCTCCCGACGCGATCGGTGGCTACATGTGGGAGGCGGATCCCTGTGACGGCTTCCCCGAGGCGTCGCGTGCAGAGCTGCTCGTGATGCTGGGACCTCGGGCACAGCAGCTGAGGCCGCATTTCACGGCGATGAATGACAGCGTAGAGGCGCTGCTTGCCGGGGAGAATGTTGAGGGCGGGACTGTTGGGGCGGTAGCAGCGGCGGGTGGGGGGGCAGCAGCGGGTGAAGTGGCAGGGGGTGGAGTAGCAGCAGCGGGTGGGGTGGCAGCAGCGGGTGAAGCGGCAGGAGGTACCCCAGGAGACGAGCAACAGGAGGAAGCTGCACAGGGGCAGGGCGTGCACGAGGAGGGAGCACGAAGGGAGGATTCTGAAGGGGAGGGAAGACAACAAGGGGCAGACAGCAGTAGGCTTGCAGCAACTAAGGCGCATCAAGAATCTGAAAGGGCAACGCCAGTGAAAGTGATCTGCCCTTGCCTGGCCTCCCTGGTTCTGAAAAGCATTGTATTCATCCCTCATTCCGATCTCCAGTCTCCCGTGCTCCTCCTTGCTCCACATTCCGCCCCTCAACCTCCTTTTCCTCCCCTGAATCCTCCACAAGTGCCTCTCCCGGTCAGCAGCAACAGTCGTTTGAAAGCATTGCCCTGGCGGCTGTGTTTGGCGGGCTGAGGCGGTTGGCAGTGGTGCAGTGCGGTGGGGTGGAGGAGGAGCAGCTGAGGGCAGTGCTGCGTGCATGCCGGGTGTTGGTGGAGCTGAGAGTAGAGCACAGCGATGCCATGTCCGATGCCCTGCTGCGAGCATGCCCAATCCACACTCTCACCCATGCCACTCTCATTGCTTGCAACGGGATCACGTCTGCTGGGGTGATCGGGTTGCTTGCAAGCTTCCCAAGGCTGATGCAGTTAAAGGTGGAAGCGGAAAAGGTTCCTGAACGGGCTAGAAGGAAGTTGCTGCGTGCTGGTGTGGTCGTCAGGGGGGTGTGAGGTTGAGTGAAGCTCATGACACCAAGTGTGGCTCTTCATGAGAAGGTGGGCAGTAATGCAGCAAGATGAAACATTCTCATCTTGCCTTTTGTTGGAGAAAAGGCTTTCGGCTTTCTTTATTCTTTCAGCAAAGCTAGGCTGTTCAGAGGGGCCTTATCCCAAGCTATTGCTTTCGGTGCTACTGTGAGTTCTCTTGAGGTGGTATGACATACCTTGGGGCAGCCGAACTGGTATGAAATGCCTTGGTGCCAATAATGAAATGACTTGGTACCTATAATGAAATGCCTTTGTGCCAGCCAGCCAATGCCGGTAATGTTCTACTAGTATCTCAAAACATGTTTGAAATAAGGACACTTCATGGTGGCTATTCGTGTTAGTGAATGAGAGAGGCTTCAAGCATTGGGAACGCGGTACGGTACCGTATATGATATACGGTAGGTATCATTGCGTAAACATGATATTTATATTCAAGAAGCAACCATGGTCTCTACATTCAAGACCTGCAAGATCTCTCAGAGAAATATAGCTGCATTCGAACAGCATTTGTAAACGGATGGAGTGGAGGGGATGATGGAGGGGATGCTTCATGGTGCTACCTTAGAACCTTGCTACAACGATGCGCCTTGCACAGAGGGCCACACCCAGGGCCAACGTCAAACTCGCACCCCCTCACAACGACACCAGCACGAAGCAACTTCCTCCGAGCCCTCTCAGGAACCTTCTCCTCCTCCACCTTTAAGTACCTCAACCCCGGGAAACTCCCAAGCAGCCCAGCAACACCTGCAGCTGTAACCTGTGTGCATGAGACCAGCGTGGCGTGAGTGAGAGAGGGGAGAGGGCATGAGAGCAGCAGGGCATCGGTCAGCTGCTCCTCCCCCACCCCACCGCAGTGCACCACTGCCAACCGCCTCAGCCCGCCAAACACAGCTGCCAAGGCGATGCTCTCAAACGACCACCGCTGCTGACTGGGAGAAGCACTTGGGGTGGAACCAGGGGAGAGAAGGGAGGTTGAGGGACGGAATGTGGAGCAAGGAGGTGTACGGGAAACTGTAACCAGGAGGGGGGAGGTAGAGGGAAGATACCCAGGCAACCAAGCAGGCTCAAAAGCAGGAGAAAACTGGATGTTTTTCAGGACCAGGGAGGCCAGGCAAGGGCAGATCACTTCCACTGGCGTTGCCCTTTCAGATCCTTGATGCGCCTTAGCTGCTGCGCTGATGCTACATGACTCTCCGTTTCTTCTCCTCCCTTGACCTTCCTCCCTCTGCGCTCCCTCCTCTTGCACCCCTGGCACCGCTGCTGCTGGCGCCTCAACCGCTGCTGCTGACAGCCCTTCAGTCCAATCCACATTATTCTCCCACTGGAGCAGCGAATCAGCGGTCTCATGCATGAACGAGAGGCGCAGGCGCAGCTGCCCCAAAAGCCTATCCAGCACCACAAGCAGCTCCTCACGAGACATCACGGTCACGGCCTCACCGGCACCTGCCTCTGACTCTACCGTACCGTTGTGAACCGCATTCGGGGTTGCCGCAGCACTGTACTCCTCGTAGCCAATGAACAGCAGAGTGTCTTCTCCAAGCTCCCCATCCTCCTCTTCCTCTTCTCCAATAAGCTGCGCAGAGAGTATCCCTGAGGTGCCGACGGCAGCAGCAGCGGTGGAGAGTCGTGCGACAGCACGTGCCTTCTCTCTCGCATCGTTTGCATCCCACACCCCCGCAGAGGCATACCTGCAGGCTGCAATGGCACTCAGGACCGCTCTGATAGCGGACTTCACGCATTGCACAGACTCGTGTTGGTGAGCGGAATGGGTTTGGAACTGCCTTGCGCGTGCGACCTGCCCCGCCCGCTCGAGCAGCTCACGCACGTCTCTCCATGCTGAGGTTGCGTCCGCATGCGCCGCTGCTGCTGCTGCGCGGATATCGACGTAGGTGCTGCCGACGCTGCGGCTGCGGCTGCGCCGGTTCCCATTTATCCTCCCCTCCGCCGCCGCTGCTGACGGAGCAGCTGCAGGCGCATCCGCACCCGTACTCGCACCCGAACCCACAGCCGCAGGCGTATTCTCACCTCGTTCCGCCCCTCCCCGTGCCTCGACGACCCGGACGAGCATGGCGAGCAGCCCTTCCAGCGACCCCTCTGCTCGTTGGAGAGTGAGCGACTCAAGGCTGCTGCACCCCGCAAGCATTCCCGGGCGGAACGACGGCAGACCCGCAAGCGAGAGCGTCTGAAGCTTGCGGGACGACAGGCGAAGCACGGTGGAGAGGGGTTCGGAACTGAAGAGACGGTAGGTGGTGCCGGAGAGAGAGAGCGTGGAGAGGGAGGGGTTGGCTCGAACCATTGCTGCCACAGCGCGGCAGCAGACCAGGGGGCAATCGTGAATGGTGAAGTGCGTGAGGGAGTGGATGGAGCGCGAGAGGGAATGAAGCTCGCCCGGGTCGAACATGCAGGAGTGGAGGGAGAGGGAGGAGAGGAGAGTGAAGGAGGAGACGCAAGGAAGGTGGTTTGTTAAGTCGGCAGATCGAATGGTGAGGGATTGGAGAGACGAGCGGAAGGCGGAGGAGGAGGAGGTGAGACAGGCAAGGTCGCTGCCTGTAGGCTGCCAGAGGGAGAGAGAGGTGAGCGCGGAGCAGCGGAGGAGGGGGGAGATTTCCTTGGGGCGGAAGCTGAGGGTGAGGGCGCGGAGGGAAGGGAAGGCGTGGAGGGGCGGCAGGACGGGGGTATCTTCGTAGAGGTAGCGGGATGTATTGCGGGATGAATTGCGGGAGAAACGCAAGCTGAGCTCCAGATGAGCCAGCTGTCTGGAAGAGAAGAAGGTGGTCCGGGCGGGCGAATGGGGAGAGACGGAGGAGGGTTGTGGGGGGGGTGGGTAGGGAGAGGGGGGAGAGGAAGGTTGGGGAAGAGGGGGGTTGGGTTGATGAGAGGTGGCATGGCAAGGACAGAGAGAGAGTGGTAGAGAGAGGTTCGTTGGAGTGACAGTAACGAGGCGGTGCAAACAGAAAAGGAGTGGGACGAGAGAGCGATAATGGTTGTAGTCCCAGAGAAGACATCATACCGATCGTACATCGTTGGATTATAAATTTCTTCCTTTGAACCTCCATTACACACAGAAACTGAATCACCCCCTGTTTCATCTTTTTTCCTATTTCCTTTTTTCTCCCTTTTTTGAGATAGAGAAACCGTTCCCACATCCCTAACGCACACTCCCAGGAAGGGAAGAGACATATGTACCGTCCGCACATCCCCAAACATTCCCAAGGCAGGCAACTCACGGGCATTGCCGAGCAAGCAACGTCCACCCACTAGCAGTGGCTTCGAACCTTCCCATCTCCACCGCCAACAGTCGTAACTCTTCCAGCTTCCCGCACGTGGCGCCAATACCCGCCAGCAGGTTGTCTCGTAGGGTGTCCGTCACGCGTACAATCAGACTGGTAATGTTGGAAAACACCCTTGTTTTCGCGTCGAATTCTCCCAACCAATCGCGGGCGCTGGCATGCCGGTGGTGGTGAGGCATGAACTCGACGAGCATCGAGTGCGGCGTGCGGCGCGAGATGCGGCGGAGTCGCGAGCAGACGAGCGCGATGTTGCAGCGGTCGGATTGGTGAGTGATGTTTGTCAGATTATGTTATTTGTCTAGCCTGCAGTGGGGTGCTCAATAGTGAGTACAACCCCTTAGGGTTTCCTATATGTATCCTGCTGCTTGCTAGTTCACATCATCATTCCCATTCTCACTTCTCCAATTCTCCTTCGTATACCACAAACCCTAGTCCTAGGGCACAACCTACTACCTCCTACTGTGGCCTAGGCTACTAAGCCTAGGCCACGCTCCTATTCTTCCTGACATGGTATCTAGAGCGGGCAAGATCCTGCTGCCTAGCTCAACGGGCCCACCAACTGCTTCCGCTGCCCTACTGTTCGCCGCGCGCTCCATGGTGTGCGGCACTGGATTTTTCTTCCCGCCACGCGCTTCGAGCGTGTGGCGGCTTATTCTACCCGCCGCGCGCTCGGGGCGCGCGGCGGTTATCCCGTCCGTCGAGGCGCCCTCCGGGGGGCCTGCGTGCTGCTCCCTGCCGTCGCATGGCGCGGCGCCTTCAGGGGGCCCGCCCCTGCTCGTCGCGGCGCCCCCCCCTGGGTGCCGCTCCTACTCGTCGCGACGCCCCTGCGGGACCCGCGCGGCGTCGCCCTGCTCGTCGCGACACCTCTGCGGGACCCGCGCGGCGTCGCCCCTACACGACGCGACGCCCCCTGGGCGCCGTCACTGGTCGTCGCGGCGCCTTCCGGGGGCCCGCCTGCTGCTCTCCCCCCGTCGCCCGTCGCTCGCGACACCGCCCCTGCAGCAGCTCGCGACGCCGCCCCTGCAACAGCGCGCGAGCCGCCCCTGCGCCAGCGCCATCGCTCCTGGAGCGGCCACCCCTGGTGCAGCCGCCCCTGGACTCGCCACCCCGCCCCTGGAGCCGCCGCCCCTGGTGCAGCCGCCCCTGGACCCGCGACGCCGCCCCTGGAGCAGCCGCCCCTGGTGCAGCCGCCCCTGGACCTGCGCCGTCGCCCAGGGAGCAGCCGCCCCTGGTGCAGCCGCCCCTGGACCTGCGCCGCCGCCCCTGGAGCAGCCGCCCCTGGTGCAGCCGCCCCTGTACCCGCGACGCCGCCCGTGGAGCAGCCGCCCCTGGTGCAGCCGCCCCTGGACCTGCGCCGCCGCCCCTGGAGCAGCCGCCCCTGGTGCAGCCGCCCCTGTACCCGCGACGCCGCCCGTGGAGCAGCCGCCCCTGGTGCAGCCGCCCCTAGAACCTCAGTCGTCGCCCCAGGAGCAACCGCACCAGCAGCAGCCGACCATGCAGCTGCCCGCGACGCCGCTCCTGGACCCTGTGCAGTCGCGCTCAGTCTCACTCGCGCCCTCGTGCGCCCTACCCTACCTGCTCCGCGCTGTTGCTCTGCACGCGCGGTTGCCCGCGCCCTCGTGCGCTCTACCCTACCTGCTCCGCGCTGTTGCTCTGCACGCGCGGTTGCCCGCGCCCTCGTGCGCTCTACCCTACCTGCTCCGCGCTGTTGCTCTGCACGCGCGGTTGCCCGCGCCCTCGTGCGCTCTACCCTACCTGCTCCGCGCTGTTGCTCTGCACGCGCGGTTGCCTGCGCCCTCGTGCGCTCTCCCGCCCCGGCCCTCCCCCCCCCCCCCCCCCCCCCCCCCCCCCCCCCCCCCCCTCTGCGTCCCCTGGACAGGAGGGTGTGGGGGTGGCGGGTGTGGGGGTGCTCCTTGTGCGTCGCCCCTACCTTCTCCTCCGTCTCCCACTGCTGCAGCTGCCGCTGCGGGGGGGTGGATGTGTGGGAGACGAGGGAGTGGCGCTAAGGGGGTGATGTGGGCGAGAAGCGAGTGGTGACACTGGGGGTGAGTGTAGGGGGGAGTGAGACAGTTGGAGGAGGTTGCAACCTGGTGCTCCTGGTGCCCGTGTGTCTGCAACTTCAGTCGTCGCCTCCTCTCTTCTCTCCCTCCACAGTTCCTCCTCCTCCTCACTGGCCTCCTGTGACTGCCACTAGCTTTGCTGATAATTGTGAACTATTGCTGTGACTTCTCACGTGTGCTGATTACACCCCACTTTGGCTATGGGGGTGTGTCAGATTATGTTATTTGTCTAGCCTGCAGTGGGGTGCTCAATAGTGAGTACAACCCCTTAGGGTTTCCTATATGTATCCTGCTGCTTGCTAGTTCACATCATCATTCCCATTCTCACTTCTCCAATTCTCCTTCGTATACCACAAACCCTAGTCCTAGGGCACAACCTACTACCTCCTACTGTGGCCTAGGCTACTAAGCCTAGGCCACGCTCCTATTCTTCCTGACAATGTTACTTAGGATGGACTCGAGAAGCTCGTCCGGGAGAGACAGCAGACGACAACGGTCGCCACGCTTCATGGTAATGACGAGCCGCGAGCTAGGGTTTGTAGCTGTGACGTGGCGGTAATATGAGGGAACCGCCTGGCGAACCAGATGCAATACGGCGAATCTTATATTTGCGAGTAATTAATAAAGAAATTATGCTGGACGTTGCGTGCGTGCGTGCTTCCGCGAGATGGCGAGTGATGAGATGAGGGAAGTGCCGAAGCAGAAGCATGCGGACGACGATCAACTAACAACGAGCACCTTTTGGGGACTGGAAATGGAAAGGAGGAAATGTACCGGTATGCAGGCGGGGCGAATTTCAAAGCGTCATACCGTGCTGTACGCGATACGGGGTATGCCGCCAAGTGTAGGTGGATTAATTACACTCCGAGAGGACTGATAAGAATTATTTATAACCTGCCCTCAAAAGGATTTCCAAGATTGCAAGAATACAGAGAAATTGCAAATTCAAGGACCTGTTACAACGCCCATGGGCCAGCTCGCACTTTCAAAGGTCATATAAGGGCTTTATACGGTATCTGGGGGAAGACGGTCATGGTATCATATGCATATCCCGTTGTGCAGATGGAGACAATAAGGCATACCCCGAAAAGCAACCACACCTAGGCCCTTGGACTATATACCTGCAGACTTGGCCCAATTAACGAGTACTTGTCACAAGAGCACAGTTGACAGCCAAGACGACATCTACGGTACCTTGCCCTAATACACTCATAACAACATACTGTCAGAATCTAGCAGCAGGAATGAATGAACTAACAGGATGCAGGAGTACAAGTAGTAAACCCTAATTAGGTTGTACCCCATATGGGCTACCCCACTACAGCCTAAACAATATGCAGCACATATAGTTCGACACATACTACCGGTAGCAGGCCCTCGGATTCACTTTTAGGCACGTAATGGTATCAGGGTCCCTAAGCCTAGAATCCCTGATCGTCAGGGTCGCCTATAAAAAAAGCCTGAAATTTCAGTGTTACAAAAAAAAAAAGTATGACGCATCAGTGTTCACGTGGGCCACAATCCCTCGTTGCGCAGCGTGCCAGCATCGCTGTGCTGCAACCTTGTAATGTACAGTAATTGGTCGAATCTGGAAATGCTGCAAAAGTGGCCAATCATCGCACCAGGCGCGCCGACAAAGCAACCCTCACTAAGGGCAAATGTGTCTGGTACTCACAGCCACGCCCTGCTGACACCGCGGGAATCTGATATTCCCCGTACTGCAGGGCAACTACACTCGGACCATGTAGTGGAATCAGTGTCACTAAAAAACAATTGCTGAAAGTTCAGAGTCTTGTTGCAAGTACAGGCTGAAAAATCAGCCCCACAAAAAGCTGAACACTGGAAAATCAGTGTAGCTAGAAAAAAATCCATAGAAATCAGGAATTTCAGGGAAAATTTCCTGATATCGTAGGGCCTGACCAGTAGGTAAACATACACAACACATGCGGACTATACGAATTAAAGCATCACCAAGGCATCATGTGACTGGCATAGTCACCAGAACCGTCCCCAAAGTCCTCTTCGCCCCTCCCAACTGCACTGTGACCATG